GGGGGAGCTGGACATCTGACATGGCAGCTAGTTTTCCACACAAACAATGTTTCAAAAGGAATGGAGCAGAAGCTTCCAGTCTCTTTGGGCAATAGCTAAGATCTGCCACAGTTCAGTGGTCCGAGCAGTTTCAGGGTCCACCCGTGTCAACGGAAGGAGATGTAGACCCCTGCAGCTCTACGTGAGGAACGCCAGAGAACTCAAGGCCATCCTAAATCTACCACAGTGAGACGCATGTATTTCTTTTTTCACTTAAGTTTATATTAATTATATGCAATATATATAAATTTTGTATATAAACACACACACACACACACACACACACACACACACATCCCTCCAGAAAATAATTTGGATATAAGTAACCATTTTGAAAATAACTTCAAGATATAAATGCTTCTCAATAAACGTTCTAAACATAAACAGACCACATACACAATACTTCTCTCATCGTTGCTTCAAGTTTTTGTCACCTAAAGACAAGACAGCCACACAAGGTCATTCTTATTTCTGAGAGGACACAGAAGAATGGAAGGAGCTCAGACTTGGGGAACGGACTGTCACCAGTTCCTGCAACTGAAACCTGGTCTCTTCGGCAATTTCCAGTTCTAGTCAACAGACTAATCAAACTGACTATTTTTATACTGAAATACAGAACTAGAATATTTGTTTATTCTGTGACATAAGCTTAAATATTTGGTCGTCACCTCTGTTTTTATAGCCAACGAAAAGAACTACAAATAGGTCAACCTGATAAGCCTGCTAATGGTGATTTTTTTTAATACACAAAAGTGTCACAAAGTCCATTTACTGAAGCCTCTCCCCCAAAAAACACCGAGAACACTTTCTACCAGCAAACCACTGTCAATGGTTTAACTGCTTTTAAGAAAATTTTTCAAAAATTGTCTGTGCATATGCCAACATGTGTGGATGATTCTACGTAGGTATTTTAACACTCAAAGGGTCATAATACAGATACAGTTGCACCCATGAATTCTTCACTGTCCATTCAAACATTAACTGAATGCCTGCTAGGGGACATATTGAGTTTAAACACTAGGAATAAATGAAGTACAAAGACCCTGGGGCAGAAATAAGTCTGGCATGTTCCAGGAATACCTAAGAGGCCAGTGTGACTGGAGTGTAATAAATGAGGGCATGAATGGAAAGTTGGAACAGTAAGTGGCCAGAGATCTTTTAATTTAATTCAGAGTGAGACCTGATGCCAGTACCTTGGAGACTGTTCAACTTCAGTGTGTGAGTTTTCTATTGCTGCATAACAAATCACCACAAACTCAGTGGCTAAAAATGACGCACTTATTGAGATGGTATTGTGGGTTTCAAGCTGTTATCTAAAGCAGCTATCAATCGATTCCCATTTCCAGAGGCCAGGAGTCCAGGCGTGGCTCAGTTGGGTGCCCTGCTCATGGAGACCTCAGCTCATAAGGGATCTACCAGGCCGCCTGCTGGAGGTTGCTCTAGGGACCAATCTGCTTGCCCCACTCACTCAGGTTGTCAGCAGAAGGCACTTCTTTGTGCTGTGGGACTAGGGCTGGAGGCTCCTGAAGTCCTCTGCCCCCTTGGCCCGTTCACAGCATGGTGCTGCCTCCAGGCCAGTGGGCAAACTTCTCTCCAGTCTGATAAGATCAAATCTTACAGAACAAAACACAATCTCACTTGCCATGCAGTGCTGATTAGAATCAAGTAACACTCCCCATCCCTAGACAATGGCCTGGATCACTGGGGGTCACCTTGAGCATATTTGCTGTATTTACAAGTCTATCTCATTTTTTAAAATTATTTTATTGGTTTATAATAATTATATATAACTTTAGGATTTGTTTTGAAATAATTATAAATGCATAGAGTATAATTTGCTCCAGTCAAATCCCCAGTAGTTAACCTTACCTCCTACCTTCCCTGTTCCTTTTGCTTTACTCTACTGCTTTTTCCATTTACATTTTTTAAATTAGTGTCTTGTGGATACATCTAATGCTGAGATTAGTTGGATAATTAGTTCAGATTAATTCCATTGTTCTCCCCTTATCTTGTCCCTCCTCTCCCCCTTCCAAACCCCTTTCTCTACCTGATCTTTTATTTTGATGGAATCCCCTCTCCATTTCTTTCTCCCCCCAAAATACTAAACTAGCTTCCACATATTGGATAAAACATTTGACCTTTGACCTTGAGTCTCTTATCTCACTTAGCATTATTGTTTCTAGTTCCATCCATTTACCAGAATATGACATCATTTCATGGCTGAGTTAATACTCTGTGTACATATACCACATTTCCTTTGTCTACTCATCTGTTTATGAGCTCCAAGTTGGTTATTGTTAATTATGCTGCTATAAACATTGATGTGGCTACAACCCTGTAGTATGCCGTTTTTAGATCTTTCAGATATATACCCAGGAGTGGGATAACTGGGTTATGTGGTGGTTCCATTACTAGTTTGTTTGTTTTTTTTTGAAGACTCCATACAACCTTCCAGAGTGGATGCACTGCACTAATTTGCAGTCTCACCAACAATGTATGAGTGTACCTTTTTCCTCATATCCTTGCCAATACCTATTATTATTTGTTCTCTTGATAAGAGCCATTCTGACGGGGATGAGATGAAATCTCAATATGGTTTTGATTTACATTTCCCCAATTGCTAGAGATGCTGGAAATAATTTCATGTACTTGTTGGCCATTGTGTCTATTGACTTCTTTTGCCCATTTATTAACTGCCCACTTCTGAGTTCATATATTCTGGATATTAATGCTCTGAGGACCAGGTGGTGAAGATCTCCCGTTCCAATGCTCTTATCACCTTTGCTCTGGAAAAGCGTTTGAGTTTGATGGTGTCCCACCTATTGATTTTTAGTTTTACTTCTTGCACATGAGAGGTCTTATTAAGGCAGTTGGTTCCTGTGGCAATATGATGGAGTGCTGGACCTACATTTTCTTCTAGTAGCTGCAAAGTTTCTGGTCTAATTCCTAGTTCTTTAATTCAGCTCCAGTTGACTTTTGCTCAGGGTAATGGGGGTCCAGCTTCATTCTTCTACTGTGGATATCCAGTTTTCTTGGCATCATTTGTTAAAAAGACTGTCTTCTCTCCAACATTTGTTTTTGGCACATTCATCTAGTAGCAAATAACTATTTGTGTGGGTTTCTCCGTCTTTTATCCCAGTGGTCTTCATGTCTGTTTTTATGCCAGTACCACACCTGTGTTCAACTACTGCTCTGAAGTATAAGTTGAAGTCAGGTATTGGGATGCCTCTGGCATCATTCTTTTTGCTCAGGATTACTTTGGCCATTCTAGGTCTCGTATTTATCCAAATTAATTTTAGTACTGCTTCTTCTAGTTCCATGAAGAATGGCATTGGTATTTTAATGGTGATTGCACTGAATCTGTGTAATTGCTTTTGGCAGTATGAACATTTTGACAATATTAATATCCAAGAACATGGGAGATCTTTCCATCTTCTAAGATCTTCAATTTTTTTATTTTCTTATAGTTTTTATTATAGAGGTCCTTCACACCTTTTTTTAATTAATCTGAATTCTAGATATTTTTTCAGGTTATTGTTAATGGGATAGTTTTCCTAATTTCTTTTTCAGCAGATTCATTATTGGGGTATAAGAAAGTGATTAATGTATGTATGTGGAACTTGTGTCCCGCTACTTTACTAAATTTGTTTATGAGCTCTAGAAGTCTTCTGGAAGAGTTTTTTGGGTTCTTCTAAATATAGGATCATGTCATCAGCAAAACAGGGATAATGTTATTTGGTCTTTTTAGATATTCGTAACAATAGAGTATATTTTGACATATTACACATACATGGAATATAACTTGTGCTAATTAGGATCCCATTCCTGGGAATGCACATGATGGAGTTTCACTGGTGGTGCATTCATGAGTGAACATAAGAAAGTTATGTCCGGTTCATTCCACTCTTTTCTATTCCTATCTCCCCTCCCTTCCCTTCATTCCCCTTCATCTAATCCTATGAACTTCTAATCTTCTCCCCTCCCTTGCTGACAGAGGTAATTTGAGCTCTTCTTGTCCTATTTATATTCCTTTCATTTCTTTCTGTTGGCCTGATTGCTCTGGTTATATTTTCAAGGACCATGTTGAATAAGAGTGGCAAGAATGGGGATCCTTGTCTTGTTCCCATTTTTAGAGGAAATACTTTTTCTCTGTTCAGTGTGATACTGGCTTTGAGTCTGTCATATGTAGCTTTTACAATGTCGAGGTAAGTTCCTCCTATCTTTAGTGCTTCTCTGTCTCTGGTATTTTAAAGATAAATGGGTGCTATACTTAGTCAAATGCTTTTTCTCCAACTATTGAGATAATCACCATTCTTTAAGTCTATTTCTCTAGTGGATTACATTTATTGATTTCTGTATGTTGAATCAAACTTGCATCCCTGGATAAAGCCCACTTGATCATGATGTATTTTCTTATATATGTTTTTTTAATAGGTGGACACAATACCTTTCTTTTATTTTTATGTGGTACTGAGGATTGAACCCAGTATCTCACACATGCTAGGCAAGTGCTCTACATCTGACCTGAAGCCCAGCCCCGTGATGCATTACCTTTTTAATGTGTTTTTGTATGCAATTTGCCAATATTTTATTACAAATTTTTGCACCTATATTCATCAAGGATGTTGGCCTTGAGTTTTCCTTCCTTGATGTGTTTGTCTGGTTTTAGTATCATCGTGATACTAGTTTCATACAATGAGTTTGGAAGGGCTCTCTCCTTTCCTATTTCATGGAATAATGTGAGGAGGATAGATTTTAGTTCTTTTTGAAGGTCTGGTAGAAGAACTTGACTCAAACTGGTGCTGGGCTTTTTTTTTGTTTGTGTGTGTGTGTAAGGCTTTTGATAGCTTCTCAATTTCCTCATTTGATCTTTTAGTTTTCTCTAACTTGTGGTTCAATTTGGGTAGGTCAAATGTCTCTAGGAATTAGTATCATCTAGACTTTTTCATTTATTAGTGTGTATAAACTTTTTAAAATAGTTTCTGATGATTCTCTGGATTTCTGAGGTGTCTGTGGTGATATTTCCTTTTCCATTTTTAATTTTCTTTTGAGATTTCTCTTTCTTTTGGTTAGTATGGCTAAGGGTTTGTCAATTTTGTTTATTCTTTCCAAAAAAAACTGTTTCATTAATTCTTTGTGGTTTTTTTTAAATTCTCAATTGATTTTGGCACTAATTTTGATAATTTTCTGTCTTCTGCTGATTTGGGCGTTAATTTGTTCTTTTTCTCTGGGACCTCAAGGTGTAATGTTAGACTACTTATTTGGTCTTTCTGTTTTTTAATGTGTGAACTCAGTGCTATAAACTTTCCTCTGAGAACTGCCTCCATACAGTCCCAGAGGTTTTGGTATACTGTATCAGAAGAGACAAAGGACAACACTTCATACTGGTTAAGGAAATGGTTCAACAAAAAAAAATGATAATTGTAAATATTTATGCCCCAAACAATGGAGCATCTATCTATGTTAAACACAAACCCTTCTCAACATAAAGAATCAAATAGAGCACAATACAATACTTCCCATTTCAAGCCACCCCTGCCACCACTATATAGATCATCCAGACACAAACTCACATTCTTCTGAACTAAAAACTATTATTAATCAAATGGAACTAACAGACATCTATAGAGTATGTCATTCATCAATGACTGAATTCGCTTTTTTTTTTTCCCCAGACGGACACAGAACATTTCCTAAAATAGACCACAGAGCAAATCTTAGAAAATCCAAAAAAGTGGAGACAATTCCTTGCATCCTTTCAGATCATAATGGAATGAAATTAAAAAATCAATAACAAGATAAAAAACAAACCATTCTAACACCTGAAGATTAAATAATGTACTTTTGAATGATGAAGGGACAGAAGAAGAAATGAAGAGAAAAAAATTCTTATCTTTTGAATGAACTACAGAGTGTTCTTCTCAGGGTCACAATTTATTTAACTCTTATCCACACCCCACTGAAGGATATTTGTTTCTGACTTTTGCATTAAGAGACAATGTGGCAATGAAGATACTCCACATTTCCGCAAAAACATGACATTATCTATACTGTGGAGCAGGGAGGGAGACTGTCCTCAAAGCCCAAGTACATTTTAAAGTTCTTTAAAGTGACACATAATTGTGCATTATTTATGGGGTACAGTGTGTTGTTCCAATTCATGTACACACCTTGTAATGGCCAAACAAAGATATTGAGCACATCTATCCCCTAACACTTGTACCATCCTGTGTGGTGAGAACATTCAAAATCCTCTCCAGTTATTTGGAAGTTATAATACATTAGGCACCCAACTGTGCAAAAGAATGGCGGAACTTACATCTCTGGTCTGATGGTCATTTTGTTCACATGACCAATCTCCTCCCACCCCTCTATGGCTATCCAATTCTTCTAGTCTAATACCAGGTTTTTAAATTCCACAAATAAGCCAGAGCATGTGGTATCCAAGCATAAGAACATCAAACTTTGCTGGACGCTGCCAAACTGTCTTAGAAAGGATGCTCAATCCACTCCCCTCAGCCATAATAAAATCACTTGTTTCCACCTCTCAATTATCTCTCAGTGGAACTTCACCAATGTCCTCATACAGGTGTTCTGCATCTGTCGCTTTAGGCTCACACTCAGGTAATTCATCTTTTTGGAGACATTTTTAATAGAATCCACCTTCCCAGTGTATTTTCCTCTTAAATATAAGGAAGCTATCAATTTTGGTAATTACTTTTAATCTTCTATCCTAATGAATCATTTTCATGTAATAATTCTTCAATGTGTTCTCTAAGGCTGTCTATGTATATATCTTTTTATCTTCCATTTTTATATATTTTCATTTTTTTAATGTGTAGTACTTCCAGGACAACAGTGAGTCGTGTTTCCAAATTTTTAAGGGTTTCTACAGTTAAACATAATACAAAATTGAGGGTTAGATACAGATTTTAAAATATCTTTAGGAAGAAGCCCCAATTTCTGCCTCATGAAAGTATTATTTTAGGGATCAATGTAAATTTTATTGAATGCTTTTAAGGATCTGCTGAAAGGCTTTCTCCTTTTACATAATATATAATATTAATATATATCCTGAAATTGAGTTGGAAAGTACCCAACTTAAATTGAATCTGTACTGTTAAGGTGCTATTTGCTGATTATTAAATATCTCTGCATAACATTCATAAACAAAAGTGATCTATGACCTGTCTTTCACAGGCTTTGGCCTCAGTGCCCTGCTGACATCATTAAAGGAATGTGAAGTTGCCCTTCACTGGACTGTGGGCCAGTTTCAACACTAAGAGAATTAACTGCTTCGTCCACGTTTAAAGGAATTCACCTGTGAAAATACGCAAGCCTGGGGCCTTTGGGGGAATGGATGATCGCTCTTGGAGTCTTTCTTTCATAATTATTTCACTGGCTTCATTCAGATTTTCAAAGTTCTGTCCCCTCTGCTCCCACGGTTCCTCTGTTCTCCATGTGAGTCTGCCCTTCTAGACTTCATGGTCTTGATTAGCCTCGCCCCAGCCTTATCTGTTTTTGTTTATGTAAATGGTTTTTTCTCTTTTCTAATTTCTGCTGTTATATTTGTCATTGTCTTCGAATTTGGGGAGTGGATAGATGGGTGCTCATTTCATTCACTCTGGCTTAGTGACAGACACTTAGGGTTGTAAATTTCTCTCAGAACATCAGTTTTGCCCAGTCCTTTAAGTTTTGATATACTTGTTTCACAATAGTTTTTCTTAATTTTCTATAATTTTAAACTTTCTATTTTTTATCCCAGATATCATTAAAGGTTTAGATTTCCAGGTGAGTGGGGATATTTTTGCTTTTACTAATGTTGTTAATTGCTAGATTCTGAGTAAGAACAAGTGATATTTTTGCTTTTTGTTATTAGGGATTTTTCTTTGTGGCCCCAAATACTCAAGACCTACAGACATAGCTCCACTGTCTTCTAAATCACTACAGAGAAATATGTGGCAACCTGATGTATCCCAGTAGATTTTTTTTTTTTTTTTGCTCAAAATTCAATAGCTGAACAACATTAAGCCTTCTGTAGTAGACAGTTCTGAATGACCCAGAATGCAAAATCCAAGTTTCCTGACATTCAGTGGACCCTGAAAAGATTAAGATGTCCCTCTGATTCAGGGGGAAAAAAAAAAAAAACTTTTTTCATTTAAATTTTTTTCTGTTGTACACAATTGGTTCTATTACCTCCACAACACAACTACTGTTTTTCTTCATCTGTATCTTTCCCTGAATGTGACTGTTCCATCAATGACAGTAACTTGATTTTTAACTTTTGACTGCATTCATTTCCATTTTTAATTTGTTCATGTGTTTGAAATGTTGTTTTGGGCATCAGTCTGTTTCTCTAGCTCAACAAGTGCCTTGAAAAAAAAATCCTGTTTAATCACTTTATTTTTGAATTCCAATTTAATATTTAGTTTTTCTACAGAGAAATTTTAGTAAGTTCATATCTTTTCTTCTTTGGAGCAGTATTCCTTCCAAAATAGAGTCTTGATCCACAGTTTACATTTCCCCTCCTGCTGCTATAGATTCACACGAACTGCACAATGGTATTTTTGGTTGGCTGGTTTCAATTATACTCATGTTATAAACGGGCAGCTCCGTCAACAGTTGCTGTTTGCACCACTCCACAGTGAGTGACATCCTCTTGAATCTCTTCCCATGTTTCAGAGGTCTCTTTTGTTCTATGCACTATAATCTCGCCTGCCCAGTGTCCTGCAGCCTCAGAGAATGGTCCAGCTAAGGCCTCTATAACAGAATATCACAGAAAATGGGGGCTTCAATGACAGGTCTCTGTTATCACAGTTCTGCAGGCTGGACATCCAAGATCTAAGTGGTGGCAAGGTTGGCTTCTCCTAAGGCTTCTGATTTGCAGATGGCCTTCTCACTCATGTGACCTTTTCTCTGTGCTGTATGGGACCCTGTTATCTCTTGTTCTTCATATAAAGCATCATCCCTAGTGGATTAAGGACCCATCCTTATGACCTCATTGAACTTTAATTACCTCCTTAAAACCCAATCTTCTAATGCACATAGGGATTAGAGCCTCAATGTGTGGATCAGCCTGGACACAGATCAGCCCACACAGGTAGGTGCAGGACAAGGGATTCACCCAGGTCCCCTTGCAGCACATTCACTGCCTAGATCTTAACGATTTTGCCAACAGGCCCATGTGTGTGATCACTCTCTCTGGCTGGGCTACAAGCAATTCCAGCAGAGGTCCTTTCCCTGACCCTTCACCAGGGAGTCTCAGACTTGGATAACTTACCAACCTCTTCCTATCATTCTGAGGCAAAAGATGATCATTTCTGAAAACTCACATCGGAAATTACCCAGACAGGAAATGAAACCCCCACCTTTACACTGGGCTTCACTTCTCTGCCCTTCCCCTTGTTTGATTTAGATTTGCTTTTGATGTTCTCTCTTTGACTGTTTTTCTGTTTATTGCTGAAGATCACCAACTCTAAGGTATTTATGATAAGGTGTCCCCAAGCATGTAACACTGGCTCTGTTCTTTGTACAATAGAAAAGGAGGATGATCAGAGGAAGTCTCTATACTATTTTGTATAGATTATGAGTCTTTATCCAAAGCTACCCGGACCATCTCCTTCCCCCTCTCTCCAAAGGAATGATTTTTGAGGAGCTCACACATGCATCTGTCCCAAGTCCCTTCTGTGAAAGGCCATGTTGGGAGTAAATCAGATGCAAACTTTTGTTAACTTCATTCTCTGGTCAGCAGCCTTTTCTTCCATTTGATCCTAGAGTTTTTTTGTTTTTTTTTTTTAACCTATTTTTGATTATAAAATTTTGAGAACTTGTCTTCATCACATTAAAACATGTATTTGTGAAAATTGTTTTAGATAATGACAATAACACTTGTAAATACATAGGTAAAAATAATATGAAAACTTGTAACTTGAAAAGCTTCACTCTATCCCTCATCCAACTGTGTAAATGGATTACATATTTTTATCAAATCATATTACTGTCGCCCTAGTTTATTACACCTACGACAAGGATTCCCAGCTTTTGGAGTTACTATGTGCCCTTCAATCACATGTAAATGGTGAACATGCGCTAGTATATTTTCAGAAAGCAGACTTTTACTTTTCATCAAATTCTCAAAGAAGTGCAAAGCATAACTAGTCAAGAAACACTGACCTCAAGTAATGAGAGGCACAGCTGCCAAGAATGGGAAACAGGGAGAAGCAGAAACAATTGACAACAGTTTGAATTTGTCTGAATAATAATGCAAAAGAGTTTTCTTTAAGGTACATGGAACTCAGAGAAATACACAGCGGACTTCAAAAAAAAAAAAATTAGACTGTGGCTGTGTCTGGGTCCTAGAAACTCAAGTCTAGTAGGAACCACAAAATAAAATGATTACACATAAGAAAATTCTCATTTGAGGACTTTTCCACATCAATCCATCAAAAGTCCGGCTGACTTGTACTTATTAGCACATTAAGCACGTATGACCTAATTCCTTCATTAAATTTTGAAAATGATGACTAATCCTCTTAGTGGTCATTTGCCCCACTTCCACCTAAATAGAAATGACATTCCAGAGAAATTCAGTGATGGAGCCTCCCTTAGGAGAAAATTTCAACTTTTACTTATTGCTAAGGTAGGGAAAAACAATTGCCTAAAAACAGAACAGTCTATATATAAATTCTATTTTCAACATATAAACAAAGCAGAGCAGATTCAGCCCCAAATTAGAACAGGAGGTGGAGACTGAGAATAATATGCTCGAGATTACAATCCAGATTTTGTATGAGTTTCTGGTGTGCTCTGTTTCTTTGTATGAACATATACAGAATCACTCATTCACAAAGGATTATAAATCTTCCTCATACCCTATTAATTCAACCACTTTGGAGATTTGGTCTGGCGCAGTCTGCAATCTGCAGCCTGCATACGCTTTCAGTAAATAAGAATAGCAATAATGACAACGAGCAACACTCCAGCTGCACAGTGATTAATAAGACATTTTTGTGCTCACCGCCAGGTACTGGCATGTGTGGATCAAGCGACTATATAAAGCTCATGACTTTATGAAATCAAACACAGGGATTTCCTTTCTGACTCCCACACATTCCTACGGAGACATACATAAGCACTTTTGTGCAATTTAAACTTGGAGCCATCCATCCAGTAATATTGACTGAAACACTATGCATCATTTAAGCTTAAAGAGAAAAAAATACAGTCATGTTTTTCTTGGGACAGTAGAAAGACCACAAAGAACTTTCTAACTGTGTGGCTCAACTGCCTAAAATCCCTTTTGGAACAAGCCAGGCTATAAATGAATAAAGCAAGCTGTGAGACCTTGGGTGAGTTAATTTCATTCAACTCTCTGAGCTTTGCTTCTTGATTCACCTATGAACTGCAGAAAAACCAATACTATCTACCCCTGCAGAGTTGACTGTGTTGATTCATGGTTTGTATGAACAAGAACTTGCCAGGTATGGAACACCAGGTGCTCCATCAGTCTTCACAGCTGTGCACAATTTCTTCCCTAAATACCCTAGAATGCTTAGGGAGGGGAATCTTGCATTTTATAATTGTATCCATTCCACCCCTCGCAGCCCTCTTTCACCACCATGGACAGAATAATTAAGTATCTTCAGAGGAAAAAACAGAGTTGACTCACAAAGGAATGCCTAGTACAAAAAGCCTTCAAAGTGTACAGGATCTTAACCTGGCTCTAGATAAAAAAGACAGCAAGTGTCTTATAGGTTCAAATTCTAATGCACAATCTTGGGGCCATGTCTCTGGGCCACCACCATTGAACACTGGACTCCAAAAAGATATGCTTTTTGTTTTCATTCTTTTCTACCCATATAGTAAAAGGCATATAAAAGTTTAAGGGTTGGGGTTGGGGCTCAGTGGTAGAGAGCTTGCCCAGCATGAGTAAGGCACTGAGTTCAATCCCCAGCACCACGTTTAAAAAAAAAAAAAACTAAAGCAAAAATAAAGATATGTGTCCATCTACAACTAGAAATATTTTTAAAAAGCTTAAGGTTTGCTGAGTGTCTCAACTGCCTAAAATCCCTTTTAATAATTGTACAAAAGAAAGAAAGGATACCAACCATAAACATCAGATCATTTAACTATTACCATGAATAATTTCAGATATATCTACCAGTAAAAAGGATATAATGAGTTCCTGTGAAGACACTGTGTAATGGTTTGGATCAGAGATGCCCCCCAAAAGTTCCTGGGCTAATGCAGGAATATTCAGAGGTAAAATGATTAGCTTTGTGCGAGCTGGAACCTAATCAGTCCGTCCTGGTTTGGTAGGATTACTGGGCACTAACTATAGGTAGGTAGGGAGTGGCTGGAGGAAGCAGTTCACTGGGGGCATGCCCTAAAAGGGTGCATCTACCCTGGTGTCCCCCACCTGCCCACTCTGCTTCCTGGTGACCATGAGTTGAGCAGCTTCCCTCTAACACACTCTTCCACCATGATGTTCTACCTCATCTCGGGCTCAGAGCAATGGAGTCAGCCAACCATGGACAAAACCTCTGAAATCGTTGGCCAAATAAACTTTTCCTCCTCTAAGTCGTTTTTGTCAGGTATTTTGGTGACAATCATGAAAAGCTGATTAACACACAAATGGTAACATCTACATCAATTACTAATCTATGACCAATATCAGTTCATCTATACTTCTACACTATGAAGCAAATTCCAGGCTATGTGAAGATGTTTAGAAAGTTTTAAGTGACTTGGTACGACTCTGCTCTGGAATTCAAGATGACTGTATCTCTACAGTAA